AACCTGCCTTTGACCAGATGCTCAATGCAGCATTTTATTTTGGAACAAAGTGTGATGCTGGAAGTAAAGTACCAACCAGGTAACTTTAGGATCAATATGGTTTGTGACCAACGTTGGACATTACTATTATATGTTTCTGTGAATTCTCAGTCATCCAGGACATAAAAAAATAAAAGAACAAAGACGAAGCAACTAGACCTCTGTTACTTAAGACGTATGGAGCAACAATATTTAAATTGCTTGACTCTAGGTTAGTGTCAATATTAACGAATCAATCTTCTCACCACCACCAAACAAATGCAAAAGTCAGATGAAATGTGGCACGAGCATTCAGACCGCAGTCCCGTTGAAAAACAYCTAATTTTGTTCCACAGATTTAGTTGCTGAAACTTTTTCGGCCTTAGGATACGTTTACTCTGCTGGCAAATGTGACCCAAAACCAATATTTTTGCTTCACGCAACCCACATCAGATTTTTGTCATGATGGTCATTTGAAAAAAAAAAATAGATTTGTCACGTTCGGTGACAAATCTATGTTTTTCTTTTCAAATCCAGCAGGCCTTTTCAGCATGTGGTACTGAATTGGATGCATATCTGATGTTTTTCAAAGCCACTGCAATCTGAGCGCACGTGYCTTGTTTCATTAGACTTCTACAGTATATCTATGAGGTGGGGGTGAGTGGGTTGAGTCTTGCATTTTAAATCTTGTAGCTCCACACATCTTCAGCAACAGACAGATGTCCAGTTGCTTTGTCTTTCTTCTTTTAATTTTCCATGTCCTGGAYGACTGCAAATTCACAGAAATATATTATAGAACATCCAACTTCAGTTGTGGACCATGTCAGTAGTAAAGTTACCCAATCAATACTTACAGAAATAAAATGCTGTATTGGAGGAACTGGTCAAAGTCAGGTTAAAATGTAAACGTTGAACTCAACAAGCGTATCAGATAATTACTGAATCAGCTCTGATTGAAGAACAACTTGAGAATCGACATCTTTAGCTAATTCTGTAAACGGAGCTGAATGTAAYGTCACATCTTTTTCTGTGCTTGCGGGTCCCATCAGGACTGTGGCGAGTTCACACTGGAGCCAGATGAAAGTCGCATTTAAAATGTAATGTGAATGTTCAATCCAAAAGAATCTGACATTTTTCAAAAAATTGAAATTAAGCAATAAGATCCAAGGTTACATGTCACACTACGGGCTTAATGCTCAATTTTGATGTTTTGAAACAATCCAACGAAACCCTAACCCTGCATATTTGTAGCATRCAGATACTGAAGTTTTGTCCAATCAGAGCTGATTAAATAATTATCTAAAATGCTTGTTTAGTTGAATATCTGAACCTGCCTCTGACCAGACGCTCTGGAGCAGCATTTTATTTTTTGAACAAAGAGACATGCTAAAACAAAAGTGCCAATCAAGTAAYTTTAGGATTGATACGGCCCGAGACCGATGTGGGACATTACCATCATATGTTTTTATGAATTCTCAGGCATCCAGGACATGGAAAATTAAAAGAAAAAAGACAAAGCAACTGAACTTCAGTTCTGTAGCTGCAGACAAGCTACAATTAAACAGCATGACTTGAGTTACGCTGATGAGTTTAATAGAGAAAAACAGTTAAATAATTACCCTGAACTTTACATCTCCGAGATTACATCAATGTTTTTGTCAGTGACGAGATGAAATTTTAAATTAGTTATATGTAATGCTGAAAATTTAATTTTGACAAATWATTTGTAGATTTTTGTGAGAACAGGGAAAAGGTGGAATATAATTTGGAGAGGTGGAGGCATGCAGTTGAAAGAAGAGAAGTGAAAGTCAGCTGTAGTAAGATAGAGTGTGTGAATATGAGGGAGGCAGGTGGAACAGTGAGGCTACAAGGAGCAGAGGTCACTGAGCTGCAGGACTTCAAGTAATTTGGGTTGACTGGCCAGGGAAACAGGGTCTGTGGTGAAGAGGTGAGGAGGAGAGTCCAGGCTGGAGGGAGTGGATAGAGAAAAAATTGKGGTTAAAGGATGGCAGCAAATGTCAAAGGGAATATTTATTTACAAGAGTCCAGTAAAACCAGCATTGTTAACCAAAAAGAAAGAACAAAGCAAAAACCAACAACAACAAAAATAAAATAAAACTGGAAGTTGCAGAAATAAGATCTTGAGGAGAGACAGCAGGTATACTGGTAAKAGRATGTTMAAGATGCAGCTGCCAGGACAAAAACACAAAGAGGGCGGCCAAAAAAAGGAGATTTATGGATGCAGTTAGAGAGGAAATGGAGACAAAGGATACAGAAAACAATAAGAAGAAGAATGATGACTGTTCTACCTTGTAGAAAGAATAACCAAACAAATGTTCAACAGGCCCCTTCACTGTCCATTTTTAAGACTCGTTTAAAAACTTATTTTTTCTCACTGGCCTTTAACCCAACTGAGATTTGATTTTACTCAACTTTTGCTGTATTGGTGCTGATTTTACTTATTTAACTGTGTGATTTTATTGTTTTTGTATTGAGTTTTTATTTTTGTGTTCAGCACTTTGTTTCAGCAGTGGCTGATGTTATAGCACTTTATAAATAAAGGTTGATGATGATGATGAAAGAATTGCATTTTAAATRCTGTGTATGTACAACAATAACATGTGTACACTAAAACAAGAGAAACATAAAAMATATGTTCAAATGTATCTTCTTACAWMACAGTCCAAATTACTATAGCACCTTTAGACAGCAGTAGATCAGACTTGAAYAGATGAAAATCAGAGATCCCTGAGAATGAAGATAATGAGAACATGTATTGCCTCATTTGTAAAAAGCTCAGTAAATTTAAACATACTGTATATTTTCCTGCAGAACACCAACAATTAGTCAAATTCTGTAGCAGTCGGTCTTATTCAGAGAAACTGCTAACTCAAAAAGCTTTCATCACTTTCCTTCATCACTTTCACATGAGATGCTGAAATAAGTAAAAAAAAAATGCTGTTAGAGCTGAAGTTTTACATGTGGACACCGTTGTTGTCTTTTTTATTTCTGATGGGAAGTAAACATAACATTCACTAACATGATTTGAAATGATTTCTGTTTACAACAGATATTCAAATAATACTGAAACATATCTATTAAATATTATTTAATTATTAACACAAAACATTACAATGTTGCACGTACATTATAACAAATGGAAATAAACTGATGAAACCAAACACGAAAAAAAAATTAAATTATGTCCAGTACTTTTTTGTTTGTTTGTTTTTGAGGTACTCTTCAAGAATATATACAGTTGAATCTTTCTCATTGATTCACATCAATATGGTGTGGTTGAGAATATTAATATGTCGGTAAATGACATAAGAGTAAGCATATTTCTGATGTATTAAAATAAGTGATAACGGCCTTTTAGAGAAATATTAAAACTGGAAGGATAAAAGTTGGAAATAATTAAAAATAGGGAAAAGAAACAGTAACAT